TAGAAAATGACGACAAAGGATATAAGTATTGCGAAAGCGATGCCAATTAAAGTCGACTCCAATCCGTCAAGTGCGGGTGAAATCCCACTATAAAATCACCCATGTAATATTCAGGTCCCTTGCCAACATCAAGATCGTGCAAGATATTTCTCCACGAATAAGATCCACGCGAACGGATCGCATATACGTATGCGGAGTAAAAGGAATCAGGTGGCATGGAACGTCGACAATTCACTCAAGGAATTTTTGGGAACGTCAAAAGTGCTTCACGTCCCATGCGAGGGGGGATGGGCATCCCGCGCGGGCGCTGCGACGGGGTACCCGTCTCTTATGCGGCGGATTCTCCATCGGCTTCGGACCGATTCCGAAGCATCTGCCGATGAATGCGAGGACCATCAGGGGAAGGATCTCGATGACTTCCAGCAGCATGAGGAGGGAGATCCCCAAGTACAGGCTCAGGGCTCCTCCCAGGTTGCTCAACAGGTTCGTGTCCTGAAAGCATCCGAGTTGATGGGATCTCGACGGCTCATCTCGTCTCCAATAAAAACATCACGGCGATGAGACTTACCGTCACGCTGGGAGATTCCGCGATTGTTTCCTGGGCGATCGAGGAAAAGTAGATGATGACTTTTACCACCTCCATCTTCATCGTATCGTTCCCATGAGTTTGCAACTGAGTNTAAGGTGAACCTCATGCAAGATGAAGATGAGTTCATCCGCAGCTGCACCTACGAGGGCGTCGATTGTCAAAGGTCGAATCACTGATCATTTCGTGGTTACTTTAGAAAATATTGATTGACTCACGATTAAATCCTTTTCGCTTTGCAGCTTATTTTTCCCGTACGCGAACTCGACGTATGGGACTTGCTACGTCTTCAACCTGAAGTTGAACCAGGACAATGATACAGAGGCCGGATCCAGGAAAACAGTGTTCCCTGGTCCGAATAATGGTCCGTTCCTTAGAACTCAGACATATGTATCCGTAACTTGAAAACAAATATATCCATAGGGTGGTTTAAAAAAAATCGCTCTACCGTTTTTTATGGGAGAAATACAGTTTCATGAATGCAGCAAAAATTGTATCGGATACGCGATCGATATTTCACAGTTACAAGGTGTTGAAATGCTTCCCAGCTCTTCTTCAGCACTCCTACCTAAGCGCAATGCCTATTTAGAGGTGAATAAAAGGTGCTCAGGGTCATTTCACCTCAAGTGAGGTGAACCTGTGCTTGACCATCTCAGAATTCAATCAAATTATCAACTTAAACTTTTCAAGGGACAGTTGGATTCAACTGATACTTGATAGAGAGGTTCGTGAATCTAAGAGGTTTTTTCATTGCCACAAGATGGCGCTGTATCTCGATAGAGGGCGCTGTTGTTGACCGGGTGACCGAGGGTGATTAATAAAAGGTGGAATGCTCCACCTTTAAGTAGTGTAACGGGACAGTACATGGCTCAGAGAATTGTTTAGATAAAAATAGGAAGACAATCTCCTCAACATCTCCCATATATTCAATATGAAGACTTTATGAATCTTATATTGTTTACTCGAATACACGAATCGAACTTTCTCCCCTTTGAAAACGGTGGAGCTCTTTTTATCACCCTCGGTCACCTGGTCGACAACAGCTCCCTCTATCGGGATACAGCTCGCTTATGCACTGGATTATACTGGTCAGTTTACTTTCACGAGGAAAAGGTAAATGCACTGGCGAAACGGCATGAGTGTTAAGCATCCCGGTGATTGAGTTACTCTTTTAGGGGGAAAACATGGCATAAGGCTATTTGTTCAAATGGTAACGGGCGCTCTCGCGTTCCGTTCAACGCGTCTACCCCTATTTTGAATCTGCTCGCACACGCCACCCCATTCTAGCGTAGCCTACAACCCACACTTTTTGAACAACAAAATTACTTTCTATTTTCTTATCTTTCTCGCTGTTAAGATTTGCAGAAATGCATTTTACTCATCTTGAGCTTCCGATTGATATATCACATGTACCAATCGATGAGTGGTCATTTCATTGCGCTGGCACGGTTAGTAGACCACGATTTATTTCCTCCAGTTCAATCAAAGGCCAAATAATCAGAAAGTCAACCTGTTTTGTGACAAGATGGGTCATTTGAGAAAGGAAAGAGTCACGGACTTCGGCCACGATTATTTTATGATCCAACTGCTCCATCACTTCGCCCCCCCCCCTGCCGATTATGCTGACTATCGCGCTCGTTCGGCGAAACATAAAATGAATGCAGCTCCCTTGATCTGCCTTCTTACTGTTTTCTCTGAGGTTGGATAGTTAGGGTATAAAGCAAAAGCTGAAAAGCACTGCGTGAGAATGTTTGAGGGTTGAATTATTCTTTACGTCATGAATACGTCATGAGGACTGAAGGTAGGGGAGGATGTCAGGAGAGGGCGAAAGAGATCCAGAGGTTTGCCGGGATTTGAACCAAAATCTCCTGCTTGCCGGTCAGGTGCGCTACCACTACACCAACGAACTCAGGACATATATTGATAGTTATTCTTCCCATCACCACACAAGGTTTTATGTTCCAACGAAAACGGGCACTCGTGCACTCCGTTCAAGGTGGTACACAATAAAATTACTACTTCTTTTCTCATCTTTCGCATATAAAATTTACACCAAGACACCCGCATCAAGACCTTACGATTGATACGTCACATGTACCAATCGACATGTGGTCAACTTCGGATGTGTTTCCATCAGAGAATATTTTTATTTAGCTGTAAGAGAGATTCAATTAGAAATCAGATGTAAAGAGCGTAGTTTAGATGCAATAGACTGCGTTATCTGATCAAAGATAGAGCAAAAAAGAAGTAGCGTCGGGAAAATATGTTTTTCATTTAAAATTTCATATTCACATCTACTGTAAGTGCCAGGATCTGTGGTCTCCACAACCCTATGGACGTTTAGCTTCGAATTTGTTGGAGCAATTCTATACTGTGAGGGAACGAAACGTGCCCAATATCGCTGCTCAGTATGCTCTCTGGGGAGGCGCAAAGGAATAGGAAGAAGTTAAATCTTGGAACGGGAAGGGGTTGAAGAAAGGGAAAGAGGCGCCTCAGCGCCTATAGATTTGGAGCGAAGTTTTATATCTCTCCGCGCAAAGCCTGAATCATGCATGCGTTTTTGCTGTAGATCTATCAATATTTGCAGAGGGAGGGGACTAAATTACATCAGAGTAGAAGTCTCGGTTGATTTATGCATACCGATCGACAGGACTGGAGCTGGAGTTATACCTGGACGCGAGTCAGTGGCCATCGAGCGTGATGTCATCGCAGGGCGGCGTCCGGGTTGTTATCCATCGATCCGACAGCCTCCCTTCTCCTGAGGAATCCGGATTCGATGCACGGACTGGCACGGCCACCAATATTGCCCTTAGACAGGTCGAAGTACATGCTTGTTTATATATGAGTCAAGGAGACGATTCGGTGCACTGCAAAATGAAGGCAGGAAGTATGATAATCAGAGCTAATGGAAGCAGCATTATATACATAAGTATATATGAAAGAGGATAACAGCAACAGATGTCATTGTTAGTGTAAAATTTATTAGAATGGAAACTGGAACGGTCAATTAAAAACATTAAAATACAGATATATTCTCTTTCATTTGATCCATGTTTGTATTTGAGGAATATTTTTTAAAATGATTACTAGTCTAGATTCCTCACATTACTAGGAAGCATCCACAAGGTCTATTTCATGCATTGGAGCAGATGGAAGTGTCGAGGCTGCCCTATCCCTACGAAAACGACTGCTACGATTCGTGGGACAAGACCGGTTACTCTCCGAGTGATCCAAAACTCATCGCCTATGACTCCCTGGTCAGTATTTTTGCGGGTCAGAAGCCCTTGATGTTTGTTGCACGATCGAGGATTCGATCACATTTCCCAACGAGTAATCAATTTCCCACGTTGTAATGATTCTTTCACATCGCTTCACAACTCTGAATGAGAACTGCGAGGAAACGTTGCTATTAATGTTATCACTTCCAGTAACGCATGCTTCAAAACCTTTTACTAGGGGGGATACATACCACAAAGATGTATCAAGAACATTTTAACATTAATTCCTCTAACTTCAGTTTTCCTAAATGGAAGTATTTTTTTAAACCGTGTGTGTTCGCATTATGTTCATGCACCAATTTCTCATAAAACTCTGTTGCTAATCCTTGTACTAATTCGCACTGAAAAGATGATAACGATGCGACAACTACTGTATACAGCTTATCAAAGGATTCTCATAGTTTCGAGTAACCAATTATACTTACAAGCCTCTTTTAGCGCATTTTTCCATTTATTGGGAATGGGAAGCATTCATCATAGAGCTCTCGTAAGGGGGTGAACAGGATGCAATGGGTTGGATTAGTGTGGAAGCACCTCCAGAATTAATGGAATTAGACGACGAGTCTAACGGTGGATGTGGATGTAGATGTGCAGGCGGATGTGCCTGCAGGCAACGATGCTGAACATTTGCCATTGCACACTCCCCTGGATACAAGACTACTTCACGTTCTCGAACGGGACGCTCAACGGGACCAGAGCTTGCAACACTGAAAGCTACGGTCAGCCTCTTCCTGTGTTTTAGTCCTATCACTTGCCCCACTTCAGTACACGCCTTTAAGCCCGAGTTCGTGTATCCGCACGTAGAAACATAAAGAGAAACACCTTTTCAATTGAGACCCGCTCGCCTTCCCGATCTGTAGTACCCCTTCACACTCTCTCGCATCAATGTCCATCTACAATTGCCAAATCAAATGCATTTAGCATTCTTACCATTTCAGACATATCACTTCCCTTTTGAATATATCTCACAGGAATCTTATGGGGTTTTCTGATCCTGAAATCTACCTATACTCGAGGCCTGCGGGCCGCTACTCTGGCCGCCAAATGAGCGGAAATGTGGAAATACTTACATTAAGATATGACGCAGTTGGGTTCAAACCAAGCATGTTATATCTTCCAACAAGCCTCGAAAAGTTCGAACGTTTTGCCACCCAGCTAATTTTATCATCATCGATATCACTCCTCAATAATAAATAAGAAGATTAGATGACAGCATATGGCCTAGATTGGCAGAGCCTTGTAGCATTAGACTTTGGATGACCTTGCCTCTGGTCTAGAATGGCATTTGTCGTTAGTGGGCGTCAAAATTGGAGAAAGTCTGCCATTTATTCCTGTATGTGTCGGAATTCTAGTTGACGTTTTCTCTCTTGAATTTCTTCTTCAATTATCGAAGAGTTTCCGTTACATTCTAGCCGAATTCGGAGTAAAGCCGAACAATTGTTACACGATTACCGACAGTCAAACGTTCCTCGGTCACTTTCCTCTAACTCCTCTCGATTAGAATCGATCACATTGGAGACAAAATTCATTAATCACACGACAGACAACGTGACTCAGCGCTGCAGGCGTGTTTTCGATTGTGACAGCCTTTGAATGACCCCCAAAATAGGAAATCAAATTCCGTCTCGGGAATAAAGATTCCATCGACAAAAGTCAGCCACGTTTTACTTGATAGAGCATTATCTCTTCTTACGAATGGTGTAAAACAGGTCTCAACCAAATAAACCATTAAAAAGAAATTAATTTTCAAAAGGTGCCAGGACTCTTCATACTCTCTAATGATTGCCATCTACATGGTGAGTCGTTTAAAAGTAGATTAAAAGTATACCAACGTTTTTACTGCCTAGCCCAGAATGGCAGAGCCTTGTAAGACTGACGCTATAGGCCGTAGATGGCCTGGCCTTTGGCCTCGTATGGCACAGTATCTTAGGCCACGCGCATTAGAAGTGACAGCCACCACAACTTTCGGTCTCTCTCTAATTAACCCTTCAAGCGCTGAGTTTTGGCTCGACCTTTTAAGTGATGAACGTACGTTGTACGTGAAAACGGCTTGGAGGGTTAAGTATTAAATTAGATTAAATGCTTCATTTTGGATTCCTATGGGCCTGTTTCTTGCTTGATCAAGGTGGCATTTCAAGACGGCATGTGGCATGCTTGCTGATTCGTACAATGCACTACAATAGTCTGCCTCATCTGATCGCTCCATGTTTTCAAACGTTGCGTATTTTTCCCTCGCGATTGCTGCAGATTCTATTGGCAACCAGTGCATCAATAATGTGTATGAAGGGGTGAAGAACGGGAGCATCACGTGTCCCTGCAACGCAGAATGCCAGTGAGTCCGGTGTTTTGTGCCGCAGTCCTGCTCCATTCCTCAGGTTCGTAGCTCAGAAATGAATGCTCCAAACCAATTCACCCTCTATAAAAAAAAAATGAATATTATAATCGCCGAAGTTGGTTTGTTGGGGCCTGTGTCTATGCGTCCGCCGGTAGCCCGCACTGATCTGTTTTCCCGAAAAAAGGCACAATTGATCCGATTCGAATCGTTGGCCGCACCCAACTCGACACTCGATGGCGACCGAGACTCCAGACCCGCGAAATCTGGCTGATCGCGCCGGCCGATCCAAAGCGGTGTGGTGTGTCTCATTCTAATATTGTTGGAAATTGATTAGCCTCGATGAGGGGGACCTACATATTTCAAGGGAAACAGCTTAATGATAATTATAATTTAATGTCAGACTTTTCTTGCAATACACTACTGCTGTGTTCACTACTCCACAAGTTTAATATATTACATATAGACTGGTACTTTAGAGGTTTATCAGTAAAATTCACATAATTTCAAAATTATATATTGAAATATGTTAAAGTTGAAAGAAAAGTTTAATAAAACATCACTTGTCTCAGAGCCCTGCTTTCGTAATGAGCCCCTCCCATCCATTATGCACTAAAACATTATGCGTAGAAGCTGAGGTGTGCTGGAAGCTAGATCTGAGCGACTGAAAACTTTGAGACACATAATTTTGCTTTAATGAAAACTTCACATCCCCCCCTCCGCCCACCACAAAAAAATCATGTTATATTTACCTATTGGAAGTGGGTGGTCATTCAATTATAAAGAAGGATAATTGAATAACCACCCACCTTCGTCGCCTTTCGTGCAGGATTCCCATAGTCATAGCGAAACGAATTCCTTTCTCTCTCCTTCATAGACAAACGGAGTACCAAACGACGATATCTTCGTCGGAATGGCCAACCGGGTCTTACATGGTGAGTTCGATCATGAAGAATCGGGAGTTTCTCAGAGTTCCTGCCTCGAGTGGATTTAACCGCCTTTTCCAACTCTTCAGTCGA